TTGAAATTTTTTTTTTTTTTTTTTTGTGATGTACTGTATTGAACATTATTGTTGTAAATTCTGCAGTGACTTGTACTACTATTTCAAACAGACAAGCAGCCAGAAATCTTTATCGTTGAGCCTTGATTTGTGTCCACTACTGTTATTGTTCGTCATGGAAGTACCACAGTTGACAGAATTACTGCAGACTTGCCAGAAATGGGAATATTCGTAGTGTTTTCTGCTGTTCTCTATTATTCTTTCTCTAATAATCATTCCACATATCTCTAAAATTATTAGGAAGTAATACAACAGTGTTGAAATTGGATGTTTTTCCAGTTGCCTCGGGGGGAAAGCAGTAAATTGGCAGCAGAAAGCTTGCAGATTAGCAGAGCTGTTTGGTTTCTGACTGAGCTTTCGCCAGCTTTCGTGTTTCAGTCTGGCCTGGCGATTATCCTCAGAACAGCACGTTCAGCATCAAGAATTCACATACTCTCTTTCCAGCAGCATTTTATATGCTTAATGACGTTTTTGTAAAATGCTCTTGACAAAAAATAATTCTGATAATCCCTCCCTCTCACTTCACAGGAAAGATTGACATGGTGAAATCCAAATGGGGCTTGGCGCTGGCTGCTGTGGTGACGGTTCTCAGCTCTCTGCTCATGTCTGTGGGACTCTGCACCTTGTTTGGCTTGACGCCCACGCTGAATGGAGGGTAGGAGCTCAGCCAAAACACGCCTTCATTCATACCACTAGAATGATTCTGTGCATCACTATCACAGGGCTGCTATGTGCAGACTTAATCCCTCAGGAATTAAAATGTCACGGTTTGGTCTTTGAGCAGGTTGATTTATAACCAATTGTCAATAATAATGATAGCAGTTTAGGGGAATTTCATTGCCAGGAAGTGTTTGAGTGGGCAGGGATAGTCCTCCGCCAGCCTATAAGGTTGCATGTATGGACTTACAGTCACAGTGGTGTGAGCTCAAGCTGTCCAAACAAATTTGACTTGGTTCACCGGAACAGGCTGCAGTCAATACATACACACTATTTAGGCCACGTGTGTACTCCATATTGATCCAAGATACAATAGGGCTGCATAAGGTCAACTCTTCAGCTAATGACAGAACGCTACAGTGGATTTTTCTGTTAGGCTTTTATCATTAATAATAAGCTAGCTCCTCACGTTCCTCACATTTTTTTTTTAATGTTATTTTTTTCACATCAAACATTAGTTTTGATTGATTTTCAAAGGTTTAGTTGTTTTCTCTGCTTCTGTTTTGCAGGGAAATCTTCCCTTACCTTGTGGTGGTAATTGGTTTGGAGAATGTCCTTGTCCTCACTAAGTCTGTTGTGTCAACGCCTGTCGACCTTGAAGTCAAGCTGCGTATTGCTCAAGGTCAGAGATGATGCAATCATCTGCACTGTTAAAATATGTGCACTCAGTTTTTCTTTCCTAGTGAATACAGCAGCCATTCAGTACTAAGCACTGTCTTACTGTTGTGTAGTGACATTTATAAAATGAAAATATTTTAAGAATTTTTCATCACAAAGCTCTCTCAATAATCTCAATAATATTAAATATATACTGCTTTAAACATGTTTTATTTATTGTAGTTAACTTCCATAGCCTTAAAAAACATTTTGCTTTTTTTTTCATAAAGCCCTTAGTAACCTCTTAAGCAGTTTGAAATCTTTTGAAAGTATGGTATGTGAAAATTAGACCAAATTGAATGACACATACTCTGGCAAAAGTCTGTATTTTTTTTTTCTTGGTTCTGTCTTAAGGTCTAAGCAATGAGAGCTGGTCCATAATGAAGAATATGGCAACTGAACTGTGCATCATCCTCATTGGATACTTCACATTTGTACCAGCAATTCAGGTGAAGCTCTAGTAAATAACTCCCGATATATGATCTGTTTTTGGTGGTAGTTATAGAGTACCAAATCACAAACGCTTTACACTTCCCCCTTTTTCTTTTGTGTGTAGGAGTTCTGTCTGTTTGCTGTGGTCGGTCTGGTGTCCGATTTCTTCCTGCAGATGTTTTTCTTCACCACTGTGCTGTCTATTGACATCCGCCGCATGGAGGTGAGAACCACCCACACAGAAAACATTCTGGAAAATATCTTTTACAATTCCATGAGAAATGCATGAATCATTCATTGCTTCATCTGAGTACCTTGTCTGGAATGTTCAGTTTGATTTTATCGTCTTTACCAACTCTCATGTCTCTATATTAACAGTTGGCTGATCTGAACAGGCGTCTCCCGGCAGAAGCGGGGATGCCTCCGCCTAAACCGGGCCCTTTGCGTCCACGAGAAACACCTCCACCACCCCGCCCTTCTCCCCACACCATCACCCTGCAGGCTCCTGCTTTCCGGAACCTCCGCTTGCCCAAGAGGCTCAGGGTGGTGTACTTCCTAGCCCGCACTCGCCTGGCACAGAGAATCATCATGGTAAAAATTACACCCTTTAAAGGAATCATTCACCCAAAAATTTTGTGATCATTTACTCACCCCTATGTTGTTCCAAACCTGTATGAGTTTCTCTCTTTAAGTTGAACATAAAAGGAGATATTTTGAACAACCAAACAGTTGTTGGTCCCCATTGACTTCCATAGTAGGGAAAGAAGTACTATGGCTGCCAATGAGGACCAGAAACTGTTTTGATTACCCACCTTCCTCAAAATAACTTCTTTTGTGTTCAACAGAAGAAAGTAAGTCATGAAGGTTTGGAATAACATGAGTACAGGTTTGGAACAACATGAGGGTGAGTAAATGCAATTCTGATCCCGCCCCCTCTCTCTCTCCCACTTTGCTTCCTGTCATGTCTGATCTGTCCTATCACAATAAAGGCAAAAATGCCACAAAAAAAAAAAAAATGCATGCTACTTTTAAAAACATTAAAAAATCTTACCGAACCCACACTTTTGAACAGTAAAATATGCTTTATTTTATCTAAATTTGTTGTCTCTTTATTTAATAGGTTGGCACTGTGATCTGGATTGGGATCCTGGTCTACACGGACCCTGCTGGTCTGAGGACTTTCCTTGCTGCCCAGGTGTCAGAGCAGAGCCCTCTTGGGGAGGCGGGGCTTCCGCCTCACTTGGGCGTTGCTCCAGTATTTCCTGGTGGAGACCCAACCAGCACACTGAGCGTGCTTCCTGCCCCCGAACCCACTCCTCTACCTGAAAACCAATCCCAGGGTCACCGAGCAGCCCGCCCAGGAGTTGCCCCTGTGTCCAGCCCCCAGATCACTTGGGGCCCTGAGGATGAGGAGCTGTGGAGGCGGCTTTCTTTCCGCCACTGGCCCTCACTCTTTAGCTATTACAATATCACTCTTGCAAAGAGGTGCGCTACTCTCTCATCTCTTAATAGATGATATGGTTCAGGCCCTCTCGTAGTTCTGCCTAACATGCCCCTGTCTGATACCCTCAGGTACATCAGCATTCTTCCAGTCATCCCCGTCACGCTCCATCTCAGCCCGCAAGAGGCCATAGACACACGCCATCCCCAGGATACACACCACGCTCCTCCTCCCAGCATCAAGACCTCCGATCTGCAGACAGATCTCACACTCTACAAGTCAGTGTTGCACTTCAACTATTTGGGCATTCTACCTGCTTTTATAAATGTTACTTATTCAGTTACCAATTCAGTTTGAATTATTATTAGAAATGAAACATAGCTTAGGCAACAATGCACCAGATATTTAACAAATGAAGCCAAAAAGATGTATTCCTGCTATTGTTTTTGTTTATTTAATTTTATTTATGTTTGATATACCGAGTTTGGAGTCGGTAGGATTTTTTTTTATGTTTATGAGAAGTGTCTTATGCTCACCAAAGCTGCATTCGTTTCATCAAAAATACAGTAAAAACAGTAATTTTAAGAAATGTAGTATTAAAATACAAAACAATTGTTTTAAATTGTAATAAGATTTTTAAAAAATATAATTTATTGTTGTGATGGTAATGCGGAGTTTTTAGCATCATTACTCCAGTCTTCAGTGTCACGTGATCCTTCAGAAATCATATGTGCCGATTTGGTGTTCAAGTAGCAGTTCTTATTATTATCAATGTTGGAAACAGTTGAGCATCTTAATATTTTTGTGTAAACCATGATAGGATGACTAAAAAAATAATGAAAAAAAACAGCATTTATTTGAATTATGAATTATCCTTCCTAAATCATTCATATGTGCTGATTTGGTGCTCAAGTAACAGTTCTTTCTTATTAATATCAATGTTGGAAACAGTTGAGCGTCTTAATATTTTTGTGTAAACCATGGTAGGATGATTAGAAAGTAATGAAAAAAAAAACCCAGCATTTATTTAAAATTTATTTGAATTATTATTATTTGAATTATTATTAGAATTTTATTTAATTTTGTATGAATTTACAGTATCTGACATAAATATATAACATTATATAAAATATAAAATACAAATATATTTTATATACATATTGCCCTCATTTAAAAAAAAATACTCTTAAAATTTCAATTAGCAAATATATTGTCCCTTATGAAAATATAAAAGGTCTGGTTTAGCAGTGTCACAAATTCCCTTTTTTATTGAGTAATCTAATGTGGTGCATTTTGTGGCGACACCGCAGAAACAAATTCCACCAGCTGTCACGGTACAATAAATAAAGACTTCATTCTCTTTCGTATTTGAGTGTTCACCAGATGGTTGTAAGGATAAGAAAATAATTGTTTTGTTCTTTACCCACCTTCTTGTATTTATAGATCAGACAGCAGTCATTCATTGGTAATCTGTAAGTGGCTCAATGACTTTTCTCTGAAAACATGCATTACCACTTTCCTTTGTGGTCTTTCTGTGAACAAATATCAAGTGGTTTTAAACCTCATGACCAAAATATTCTTTTTGCAAACAAACACTTACATTCTTAATTTATACATGGAAAAACTGTCACTGATTAACCACGAGCGCTCATTCATATCTCATACTAGCACACACAGGAGATCCAAATATGTGACTGCAGAGACAAACAATAGTCTCTCTCATTCACAAACAAACACACTCAGATTGTGGTGTTCAAGGTCATTGTTCCAAGGCCCCGTTCTTATCTATGAGGCCGTTATGGTTGTTAGATACACGTCAGATGGATGTAGTTCAGTTTGCTCTAAAACTTGGCCCCTCCTTCTATTTCTTCTATTGGCCCCCTGCCTGTGTTTCCTGTTTTCTGTGATGCATTTACCCTGTGAGAACAGATCAAGAGTATGTGCACGTGCTCAGATGTTGTCCAACTTTCTGCATGTAATGCTTACCTTTGCGTTCCCATCCATGGAGGTGGGTGGACTGGAATTTTGACTTGTTTTGCAGGGGCTCATGCTCACATGCCAGCTTTAAATTTATTGATTGCCCCATTCATTACAGGGGAATTATTTAGTGTATGTGTCGGTAGGGCACCACAGAGATTAGGAAAAAATAAGGAGTGTTTAATGTCAGGTTTCTCAAATACTCCCCCATCTGGCATTGTTTTGACTAATTGATTTTATTTCATTTCATTTTATTTTACTTTACTTCATTATAATATGTGTGTTTGTGCAGGGTGGCAGCTCTTGGACTTTTCGCTGGCGTGGTGTTAGTTCTCCTACTCTTCTGTCTGTATCGTGTGCTCTGCCCTCGGAACTATGGGCAGAACGGGGTTCCCCATGGTCGCCGTCGCCGTGGAGACCTGCCCTGCGACGAATACGGCTACTCGCCGCCAATCAGTGAAATTTCCCCTCTGCTGCTGAGAGGCCACAGCATGGTGAGAATCAAATTGACTTGCACTGACGCGTTTCCATAAATGCACTCTGAGATATATAAAATTACCTTTGGCGTCTCTTCCCAGGACATTGAGTGTCTGGCCAGTGATGGCATGCTGCTGGCCAGCTGTTGTCTGGCGGGAAGTGCTTGTGAGGCCGAGAGCCTTTTGGGGGCAGACTTTAGGGAACCAGGAGGAGTAGCGATGGGAGGGCCAGATGTAGATATTTTCCCAATAAGGAGGAGGACCAACCCTGCACGCCCTGCCCTGTTTGGGGACCAGCCAGACCTCACCCCTCTCATTGACACCAACTTTGGGTCATTGCCCCCATCTCAGACTTTAAGCAGCTCTGGCTTTGATTTCGGGGAATTGGTGGAGAAAGCATACCAGGAGCATGAGCCCTCGCCAACACTGGCCTTCCCACCTTCTCCTCCGGCTTCACAGCAAAGGCGACGTAGCCTCGGGGACCAGCCTGTCTTACCACCAGAGCTCCCCCCGCAGAGCAATGGTGACTGGGACAGCTCGGTGTGGGCCATGGAGCTGAGGGGTAACCTCATTGCCACGGGTCGCAGCAGCGGAAAACTGGAGGTGAGAGAAAGAGAGGGCTTTTATAAGGAGAACATATAGATCTATCAATGTGATTTAATATGCTGTTCTTATTTTCTTGTATCTATCAGCTGTGGGATGCAGTAGAGGGATCATTACGGTGCAGTAATGAAGATGGAGTATCTGGAATCACTGCCTTGGCTTTTCTTAATAACAGGTGCATTTCACAACAACCTGAAGCTCATATATAAGCCACACTCATTTCACATCCAACCACCCGACTTATGTTTTCCTGCTAATGGAGGTATTTTCAATTGCAGAATTGTGGCAGCTCGCTTAAATGGCTCACTGGATTTCTTCACAGTGGAGATCAACAAGCCTCTGGGGTTGCTTCAATATCGCGGTGAGTCATGCCAAAATAATCGAAAAAAGAATACTCAAATACAACATTCTCACGGCCTTGAAAAACCTTTAAAAAATGCCAAAACCAGGCCTGGAAATTTCATGTAAAATAATGAAGTGGAATGGAATGCGATTTAAAAAAAATTATAATTATCGTGAATATAAATTTTTCTGTTTGTCCTTTTTTCAGCTAGACTTTTTGGTCTGATTTCTATAAAATTATTGTTAAAAGTACAGATCTAATAATAAAAACCAACTGGAAAAGTTATGGAAATTCATTAGATCAGAAAGCATGAAAACACAAAAAAACAGGTAGATAAAAGCTGAGTTACTCACAGGAGAAAGTGGAGGACCGAAATAAAGAGGCATTGATAGTTCACCCAAAAAATGGAAATTCTGTCATTAATTACTCACCCTCATGTCATTCCAAACCCATAAGACCTTCATTCATCTTTGGAACACAAATTAAGATATTTTTGATGAAATCCGAGAGCTTCCTTACCTTGCAGAGACAGCAACGCAACTACCACGTTCAAGGCCCTTTTAAGCGTTTTTCCTGGTTTTTTTTGTGTTAGGACCCCCAGGCCGAGGCAGTCTGCCACCCTCCCCCTGTTACAGCAGTGAGGATGTGATCAGCTGTCAGCTGACGCGCTCAGTGCAGTGTGCCCACCAGAAGCCCATCACTGTGCTCAAAGCTGCCGCTGGCAGAGTGGTCACTGGCAGCCAGGACCATACAGTCAGGGTAAGGAACATATGAGTATATGGAAATATAAATAAATATGCAAACAGGAAGATCAAAGTTGGCACACCACAGCTCCAAAAGTAGAAAAATATTTATGTTTTCACCACAGGTGATGTTTCGAGCCTAAAAGCTCTTCATCAGACAATGAACACATACATAGATCAGCCCTTATATACAGCACAAACCGTCTGCAGTCAATTGTTGTTTTCACTTTTATATATATATATATGGTATATATAAATATGGTAAAACATGTTAAATAGGGCAGACAGTGCAACACTTTGGTTATTAAAAGCATTATTATATACAAAATATTAATTAAAAATATAAGGGTTATTTGTGGAACTTTACATTTAGTCATCAGACTGTAAATTATTTGTTCAGATGCTGGAAATCTGTAGAGCTTCCTGTGAGCACAGATTCTGTTCAAGCCTACAGGTAACTCATGCTTTAGTTTGTTGTTTATTTGACATTTTCTTTTATAGGTGTATCGTTTGGAGGATTCTTGTTGTCTCTTCACCCTGCAGGGCCACTCAGGTGGTATAACTGCTATATACATAGACCAGGTCAGAATCATATCACTATCTCACACATATACACCTTGTGTAATATTGCTGCTCATATTTCTAATTTACAATAGTGTAAATTAACTGAAAACATGGTGGGTGGGTGGATGGATGGATGGACCAATGGATGGATAGTTGGATAGACTTGTAGATGGAGAGATGGATGGATGGATAGAGAAGAGGGATAGATTGAGAGAGGGATAGAATAGATAGGAATAGATGGTAGATGAGCAGATAGATAGATGGTTAGTTGGATAGATAGGCAGATAGATAGATGAATAAATGGATGGGTAGATGGATGGATATTGTCTCAATCATATTCATTTTGGCAAATGAAAAAAAAGTTGGTTTTTTTTGTCCCAACTAAATTTTTTTCTGTGCTGTGTTGTAGACCATGGTTCTAGCCAGCGGGGGCCAAGATGGCGCCATCTGCGTGTGGGACGTCCTAACAGGCAGCCGGGTGAGCCACGTTTACGGTCACCGTGGTGATGTCACCTCATTGGTTTGCACAACTTCCTGTATCATTAGCAGTGGGTTGGATGACCTCATTTGCATTTGGGACCGTAGCACAGGCATAAAGTTGTACTCCATACAACAGGTGTGTGATTATGAGAATTAGGACTGCAGGATTTCATCAACAAATCAGCATATTGTGATTTGTTATTAATAACATAAAATCTCTTATGTCTTTCTCTGTGTTTCAGGAGGTGGGCTGTGGGGCCAGTTTAGGGGTGATCTCTGAAAGCCTGCTGGTGACGGGAGGACAAGGTTGCGTGTCGTTTTGGGACCTGAACTATGGGGACCTGCTGCAGACGGTGTACCTGGGCCAGAGCAGCGAAGGTCAGGGCGTCAGGCAGCTCCTGGTTCTGGACAATGCTGCCATAGTCTGTGACTTTGGTAGTGAGCTCAGCCTAGTCTACGTGCCCTCTGTTCTGGAGAAGCTGGACTGAACACACACACAAACACCAGCCCACAGATTTAGCAAATTTTCAGAGTGGCCGGCACAAAAGCACTCACCCTTTAACCTGAATCACCACAGGTTCATTGCAGACATGAATGATGTTTCTCGTGTCCTCTCATGTACCACCCTACACTTAGTAGGGAGGGAGTGGTCACTTTATACCACATCTGAACAGGATGTAAATGCAAAACCTGATTGTTTGGTGTTCAATAGGCCTCTGATGCTCCATCAGAGCATTTTGTACTTTTGGTAGAACATCATACAGATTATTCTGTGTATGAATCCAGACAGAATTGCATAGCTGCTGACAGTGAGAGGTGGCTCGCTTGGCCTGTCTTAAGATGTCTGTTTGCGTGGATGTTAACAAGCTCACGGTGAGAATGCCAGGCCACCCAGCCCAGAAACTCTCAACTGTGTGACAGCTAGAGGTGAGAGAGTTCACAATAATATGTTTGCAGAGGGAGAGGAGGAACGAAAGGTGGTCGTTGGGACAGAAAAAGGCATAGATATTTCCTGCTGAAAGGAGTGTGTTCTTTGCGTGCAACAGTGTTTGAGTGTTTGAATCTTCAGAAGTGTTCAGGTCACATTGCACCCCATAATCAAAAGAATTCTTTGAGGTTTGATTAAAGACTCAAAGCTTGAACATCTTAGCAACCGCATAGGAATTCCTCTTGCAACCTTGCATAAAGACCGTAAACCTAATTTAGGACCAATCATATATATATTTTTTATTTTAATGACAATTAAAACAGCCTTTATATATAGTTATATAAAGTAAGTTATATAAAGTTTTTTATATTAAAGATTATTTTACATATATATATAAAATAATTTGTATATTATATATTAGAATTATATGTATGTATATGTGTGTGTATATATATATATATATATATATATATATATATATATATAATTTGTAATGTAAAAAAACTTTGAAAGAAAGTTTTCACCTGTGGGTATATTTACATGTTGTATTTGTTATACTGAATTTTTTAATAAAAAAACAAAAAAAACTAATTATGGATGATTTTTACTAAGTTTATTTATGTTTTTTTCTTTTCATATATTTATATTTTCAGTATAGAAAATTTGGGAGGGTGTGTTTAATTGTAACAAAAAAAATCACAATGCAAATAATGTTTATGATCTTTAAAGTAGGCCTCCGTTTCTTTTTGCAACATATTTTCTTTTGATTTTGGGGTGAAATTTGAACTGGATGCTGTGTTTCTGTGAGTGGTTGTGTTTGTAAGAGCATACTGTATACGTCTGACTCTCGGGTGAGGGGGGATCTGTTTTTAATATTGAAATCAATTATTTATTAGTGAAATTTCTAACAATTTGTATGAAACTTGGCTTATAGATAAGTTGAAGTGGAGATGCGGTCTAAATTTTAATATACAAGAAAAGCTTTGACTAACTTACACCGAAATAATATGATTATATTGATCAAGTCAGTTACTGACAGATGTCAGGCAGCAAGAAGGGTGGCTAGAGAAAAGAGAAAGGGAGATGTTCTCATTCCAGTCCTGCCTTAAACATTGAAAAATGTTTCTTGGGACATGCTGTGATGTCATATCTGTTTCCTGAAATCCTGAATGAACATTTAGTAGGGTTAATTTCTACAGCACCTGTATGCCAGGTACATTTTTAGCTAAGCCGTCAGTATGAATCACCCAATGTCATTTTAAATGCATCTAAATGCAGCAGATTATGAACACCTCTGGAGGAGTTTGATGTCTCTCTGTGCTGAAAGTGATGGACAGGGCTGCTTTTTATTACTAGATGTGTATATTTTCTTATTTTGCTGTATTAAAATGTGTTGTGTTTTTTTTGTAGAGCCATGACCAGTTTCACTGAGATTGTTGACCATTAGTAGTTACTGTATATTTGGGCCTGGTTTGTAAGTGTGTGTATGATAAAACATTAGTATATCCAATCCAGCTCTGCAGAAACCACACTAATGTGTGCATTGGTTTGGCCTATTTTTCATATAGCCATAGCGGTCAACCAATTTTGTGGTTATCTTTCAGGGCAAATGCACACATTCGTGAAAACTGAAATTGAAATATTAAAATGCACTGAGAGACTTCTTTAGTTTCATTAGACAGCAGCAGAGATTTTTCTACATTTAATTTTTGAAGTTTGTCTGGATGTGCATTCCACTGGCAATTTATTTATTTTTTTTGCATTTTGATTTATGGTTTGGCAAGTACCAAACGTGTCCCCATTTTTAATGCAAGTGAGTCATAGGTGGCTTTTGTTGCACTTTAAAACTTATCAATTTGAAACATGATGCTTTAAACTTTAAAGATTAAGGAGTTTGATACCATTGCATGATGTCGTTTTTATAAATTCCCCCTATTGTTTTGATTTTTGCAAAAACATATAGTCCCCAAAACAATTGAAACCAGGAAAATGATTTTCCATCTGATCAAGTCAATAGAAATGCACATGACTCCGTTATTAGCCATGTTTTACGAATGTAAATATTAGTTAATAATGTTGATGAGAGAACTGGTGTTTAATTAGTTAATTTTATGAACTACACGCTTGAAACCATGTAGTAGCATTGGTCAAAACAATTGTACTACTTTTTTTTTTTTTTTAAGTATACGTATGTGCATTTTTCAGTGGGTTTGTAATTGTTGCATTGATACGGCTGAAGTTTCATAAGACCAGCTGTGCAGCTGTTGTAAGGATGCTCAAATCTTGTTTAAACATGAGAAATAGCAAAAAGCAATCATTTTCACCATGACGTGATGATGTATGGCCAGTTATCGCTCAAGAACAAATGTATGGCTAGCAGCTGGGAATTGTTCAGAATTATTTATGAGTCGTTAAAACTTGTCACATGATTAGATTAAGCATTAACCACATGAGAACAGAGTGCTGAGAGAAGACAATGATTTATAATCATTTCCGTGACCATACTGAAAAGCATCATTTACTTGATGGCAGGGTTGCTGCCACATACAATGGCAGCCGTTCTATTGTGAGAAGTGAAATAGCACAAAGCTCCATTGTGTTGATTTTACTGCTCGCTCTGCCTTCCCAGAGGAGCACATTCCTAGACATGATCGATGCATGCAGTATTGAAGTGAAATACTGCTGTCAACTTGCTGTATCTTACTGCTGCTGAAGTAGAGGTGGAGGATGTTTAAAGTGATGTGAAATGCCTGAATGTTGCACTGTTTCTTAAGATGGGGAGGGGGCAGAGAGAGACTGGGTGTAAATATTGTCTTTTTTTGGGGGGGGCCTGCTGTGCCCTCTTCTCAGTCTTTCCCAAATACACTACACAGTGTAACCAGACAGTAGAGGATGTAACTAATGCTCCGTTCTATTTTTAACAAACTTTGAACTGAGAAAAAAAACTTTGTACTAATTCGCAAATAAAAAGGCTTTCATACAAAGTGTTTTCTCTGTCCTCATTTGTTAAACTTATGGTATTAAAGTAATATTCTGGGTTAAATATAACAACCTATCAACAGTATTTGTAGCTTGCTGTAAAATAAGTTACAATGCATTGACGGTAATGCACTTGGTCTACTCTACACTTTAAACATTAGCTTAGTGGTACAGGTTTTAACGATTTTCAACTAAATCGCAAACTGAACCTGACAGTAAACAGAAACACCATGCATTTATTTAAAAAAAGGGCAACTCGATGGAGGGAAAAATTGGTAATATGAATTGTAACGAGAATAAGGTGGGTGATGACAAGTTTTCAGAACAAATAACAAATTTGAATGTGTGATGTACAGCAGACTGGGAAAATATGTAAATATTACTATAAAATAAATTAAACTTAAATTTCAAACATTGCGCATTTTTTAATAGCGGTCAATAGAGGAAGTTGGTGTAGTTACAGTATCTACCACCAGGGGCTAATGAGTCCATGCTAACCCCCCAAAAAAACGTGTCCTCTTTTCATATTTTTGCTATTTGCTATAATTTGAAAAACAAATCAAATGAGACCAACATATTGACATTTGTTAAGATTTATTTACACCGTTCAAAGAAAGACAAGTTAGAATCAACTCATAAAAATGCTATGATTTCTGAAGTGATTCAGAATTTTGAGTGTTTTAAGTATAACGAGTACATCAAGTCATATCAAGTTGTATTTTCATCACCCGCTTCAATTTGTCCCTACATATACTTTGCAGATCACTGTAGCTCAAAGACAGGTGCGGTGACTAATAATATACAACCCACAGTGTAAGCAGCATGTGTACAAAGGGCAAGCAGATAGTCGCTCAGTCAAACTGTTAATATGTTTTCTGATCATGACAACAGTAGCTTGAATGTCAGTTTTTCTATCACACTGTTTCCATTCTCAATGTTTCCATTTTTGGTGTGGAGGCAAATGCCCACTGCAGAGGAACCAACACTCAGGCACCTTACAGGCAATCACAAACACCATTGCATTAGGAGTGCATGCTAGGAGACCGGATTTACGGAATGTAACCAGGATCAGAGCTGGAAAAGTGCCAACTGAAAAAAGACTTTTCAGGACACAAGTGGACAGACATACATACAGTGATGAGGTCCAAGAGGCATGAACACGGACAAGATGTTACACGGGGTCAGAAACAGTTCATAAGAGGACTGCCTGTGGGGGAGAAGATAAAAGAGAGCTTGGTTATGTTGTTTCAGCTTTTGTTGAGTGTCCAGAGAGGATCCAAACTACTGAGCGGATCGTCGCCCTCTGGTGGTCCCTGCAGGCCTTTGCCTTCTTGCGGCTGAAGGAAGCTTTGCTTGTTAATCCGCTGCTTGCCTCGATGGGCACTGTCCAGAGTGAAGGCTTCAGGTGAGAGAGAAGCAAGCAGATCTAAAGATGAGGAGGGGGGCGGAGAAGGAGCATGAGGCGCTGCTTCAGTGGATGGGTGGTGATTTGAGACGGGAGATGCAGGAGTGGACCCGGTGAACTCATTCCCTTCGCCGCTAGGAGGCGAAGGTGACTGTGTCTTGCCTGGAGAAGAGGTGCAAGAGAGGGGGGGACTGAGGGAATCAGGCATAGCTTCATAAAGCAAGTCCTGAGAAGGCTGAAGTGACATATCTGTAGAATCTGGTTCCGCTGTGCTTGCCGCTTCAGAAACAGAGGGCATCTGGTCTTGGCCGGGCTCTTGTTCATGGTCAACACTGGGTGGTCGAATGCTAAGTTTGGCCACGGTGGCCTGTATGGAACTAATAGGCATGTCTCCTCCCAGAACAATGTCCTGAGATTCCTGTCGCGAGTATGACTAGAAAGTCAAAATATAACAATCACACTGCTGTTTGGTTTATAAAAAGACAAGAGAGTAAGAAATAAGTTGTTACCTTTAATGCAATGTTATTTGGGGTCCTGGTGCAAGGGGATGTAATAATGCCATGACGTTGCAGAACCTGCTCTGTATGTTTAAGGACAGCCTCATAGCAAAATTTGAGATGAAGCTGTGGAGGTTTTTTGACAAAAGTACCATTAAATTCTATCAACTTAACACAGTGCAAAATCTCAAACCTCACTGGGAGAGTACCATTACCTTTTCTTGCAGCATGTTCTTCCTTTGCTGCCTCATCTTCCTCACCAGCTGGATCAGGTCAGGTATACCATTGCCAGCCTCAATTTCTTGCAGCGCTGCATAAAGCAGACAGAAGGCGCCAGTACGGCCAACACCAGAGCTATGAGAAACAGAAACAAAACCGTAAATGTACTTGCTATTTTCTGCTTTTGCTTAGCCTTGTCTATGTGTTCAATATCATTTG